TGCTTGCATCATTAAAATAGGTATCAGAGTCGACTCCTATCCCGCCGCAGGGTAGCTGAAAATACAAATTTTGCATGAATTACCATTTAACGTCAAGTTCAAGACGTTCAACTATTAGAAAAGGACTTACTTGCACGAAATTCCGCAATGGTAACTCGCTTGGCTCCATCTTGAGGCAAGCCGTGGGGGATACGGCGAAGAATTGGACGTAAATTGACGAGTGGACGGATCGTAATGCTTCCAAGGACGCTTTCTTTGTTGGTACCCGTTCGCATCTGAAATTTGCTGACTGCTTATTGTTAGATCTACTGTTTTCTAGCTGCTTAGGTATGTATGGGTACCTTACTCGACCACTCTGGGCTATCCTAGCCTACCTTTGCACCAATCCAACAGCCTGTAATCGTTCCCAAATCGATGTCACCCTTCCGCCGTGTTCCACGTGGGATCCGCTTTGTCCGCACACGCATTCGTGCCGCGACATGTTACCATCGTAGGCCAGGCCTAGACAAAGTTTGAGATACCTAGCTTCTCCTATTACCGGTGGTAGGCTGTGACTCCCCTTCCGCTAGAACTTCCATCGAAGAAGCTTTTTCGACAGCACTGGTGGACTGCTCTTCCATGGGGATCACTTCTTCCGGTTCCTCTCGAACGAGGGATTTCCGCCTGAAAAAACTAGGCGTTAAAAATGATAATTTTTTACATACCGTAAAACCAGCTCTCGTAGCTGCTGTTTCAGCAAGCTGGGGTATCCGCCAATTGGTAGTTGGGCGTTTGATAACGAAGCCAAGGCGGCGGCGCTTGGATCGAGACGGGTACGGTCTAGAAATTTTAAGTTTATAAAGAGCTTCTTGAGGGTTTCGCTGCTTTAAGGTATAGTTTCACATAAACGTACCAATCTCCTCCTGCTGCCCGCCAATGCCCATCTGCCCCGACATTGCCAGCTGGGTCTTCAAAAGGGACGGCAACGACAGGAAGCTGTTCAGCTGGGCAGCCTGGGCCAGAAGCGATGTCAGATCGAGACCGCCTAATCCGGCCATATTCTGAAAATTGTATTCAGATATGAAATATAAATTTTTTTTTCCGATTCCGAAAAATACACATATTATCTAGCCGCTAAACATGCAAGTCCATATTTAAAAAAATCCCCCAAATACCGTATCTAATCCAGACAATTGGATCGTAAAACTTGTTTCTATTGTCATGGTTGAGTTGGAAATTGTGAATCTTGTTAAGGCTTCGATACTCTGAAAGCTCTTTAATAGATAGTATACCCGGGTTTCAAACCTCGTTTAAAAACGCTAATTGGTGCATTTTTGGCATTTCTATTTTTATTTTCCCCTCATAAACCTGATGTTTGGCATTTTTTCCAAAGCCTCAAAGGATTATGTGATTTCCATTTTTCCAAATACCGGATGGATTGCAGCCATGTGACTGGGCATCTATTTTTGCGCCAAAAACCCACTGAGTCCCCAGAATCCGGGCTCGGATCTCCTGCGGAAATGCGGGGCCAAAAACCAGATACAACGAGGCTAGAAATAGTCGGAAAATTCGGAGCGGATAATCCGTGCCGAATCCGGACACCAGTCGCCTCTGCCCCACCCGGCAATCAGTTAAATTGAATTTTTGTTTTTGACGCAAGAAAAAGCTGCTAAGGAGCGCTAAAAATCACACGATAATCCATACCAGATTCGGGAGGGACGGGCTGGGGACAATCATGTGGGGGACGAAGGCTTGGCCGAGGTTGTGGAGACCATCTTCGAGTTTGGGTAGGGCGGATCCGAGATCGCTGTCAGCTCTGAAACATGGTGGGTTTTAACGAATTTAACTGACTATAACGGCTTTAACTCGATATTTTAGACTTATCAATCCGATGCTGGGATATCAGGCTAAAAGGATGCAAAGCGAAAGGACACCAAATTTATACAGGAAACATTTAGCTTTTGGAAGTTTTAGTTTTCTTCCTAGCAGTACGTCAAAATTCGTTTTGCCGAAATCTTATTTACCGAAATTTCACTTTGTCGAAATTTTGTTCTGTCAAAATTCAAATGCAATCAATTTCAGCGAGGTTTGGGGTGCATAATCGAGGCGAAAAAGCGACAAATAAACATTTTCGACAAATTGAATTTTTGATAAATTACATTCCAACCAAAATGAAATTTCGAGAAAATGAAATTTTGTTTTCGACGAAATAAAAATAAGCCATCCCTAGCCTTAAGTAATCATGGGTTCCACTAGTATTAGCCGACAGTATTTTTTGTGAGCAATTTCAATAAAAATACAAACCTTGTCAACGACCCCTGCCCGGGCGAGTTATTATGCTGAATCGGGCTCGAGCCCTTGCTGAGGATCTTCGACCGGATGCGCATCTTCAGGTTCGGCTCCGAGTTGACCTTCCGGAGGGCGTACTCGGCGGAGGAGCTCTGGTGCGCGCTCTGTACCGGGTAGGGCTCGAAGTGAGGTGAGGCGACGTTGGACTGAAAATCATACCTTGACGGTTTTTGGTACTATCCATACCTTTCCAACTTGCGGGCTCATCGGGGCTTGCTGATTAATTGAAGAAGATGACCAATTCTGGACCGGGCCGCTGCCTTGCGGGCTGTTCAACAGGTTCGGCTAAAAAGGAGAATTTTTTTAAGAGTTTATAGTGGTTTTTGACGGTTTATAATTGTTAATATTACCTGACTATCCCCTGATCGTCGATTTGCAATCATATTTTTCAAACGATCTTTGGTGTGTTGCGAAATTGTCTGCGAGCCGCCAAGAGCATTGTGCCGGATTTCGGTGAAACGTCTGAAAACGTGGATTTAAAGTTTAAATTTGGTATATTTTTAAGTGCACTTAAAGTATCCATCAATGAAAATAGCGAAATACGAAATCTATACCCACTTCTTTTGCGACTTCGAATGCGCGGCCAACGGATTTTCCTTGGACTCCTTGGTGTTGGTGGGGGTCTGGGGCACAGATTGAGACCCAGGACTGCCGAGGAGCGACGACATCGACGAGGTCAGATGGATGGGCACTAAAAATTTGATGTGAACGTTTTTGCTATTTTTGGCGGCCATTTGATTTTTATGTCTCCAAAATCCTTACTCGCCGGCCCATCCGACTCATCCATTTGCTCCGGCTGCGTGGCGGCCATGTTCTGCTGCTGCTGTTGCAGGGCATTGGCGAGGATTTGCTAAATTCGCTTTTAATGATATAAATTATTACTATTTATTATTGCAAAAATTTATATAATTTAATTTGAGTTTTCGAACCTGATAATACGCCTGCAGCTGCTGGTTCAAAATGTTCTTCTTCGCCTGCTCGTAGCTGTTCATCAGGTCCTGCTGCTTTGCTGGTAGAGCTGAAAAACATCGAGATAATTTTTGGCGATTTTTGCAAAGGAGGTCAGTAGCATTTTGCAGTCATTTAATGCCCCCTGAGATTGGGGGTAATTAGGCCCCCCCCCGAGTTCCATTCGCTATGCCGAATTTTGCTATGCCGATTGACGCTGTGCCGAATTTTCACTATGCCGAATTTTCACTATGCCGAATTTTCACTATGCCGAATTTCGCTATGCCGAATTTTTAGTATACCGAATTTTCACCATGCCGATTTTCACGATACCGAATTTTCACCATGCCGAATCTTCGCCATACTAATTTTGATAAGCGGTATGTTCCCCATTTTTTTTTACTGTTTTTTCCAAATATCATGGGCCTAGAAAGTAGAGTTAGCCTTGAGGTCAGATTGGTACAGCTGGAAACCCCCTGGCTTCCGGAAAGTCACGGAGAAAATTGTTTATATCGAATTTTTTATTTTTATCGAATTTTTTATGCAAAGAGGAATTGCTTGAAATTCGCGAAACAAGAGGTTGGCAACGAATAGCGATAGGTTCAAGGAGTTCAGCAGTCCACCGGGATTCTCGTGTCAAATTTGTAACTGGGCCATTTTAAAGCATCAGCAAAATTGGATTAAAAACGTCGCGTTTCCTTGTATAGAACATTAAGTTTTAAATCAATTTAACTGATTTAATTTAATTAAACATTTCAAAAATTCACTAGTGAGAGTAAAAATTAGAAATGTGATCTTGACAATTTCGGGGCCTATAAAATATTTTTTTTAATTTGAATTAAAGGAGAACGGAGATTTTGCACAATTTTTTTAAGCCAGGAAGTAAGTAGTAACTTGCAGAAGCTCTAGGGTTTTTTTTAAACGCTGAGAATCCACTTAAAAATCTCAGATCCCTCACCCCCAATTTCGTTCCAGATCTTTCAAAATTTCGATCCCAACAATTTCGTACCCACAGTACTCATGGCAAAGATTGTGCAAGTAGCACAAGAGACGCGTTTGTTTTGGGTCGGTCCCCCCTTCTGCTCTTTTAGCTCTTTCTTCTCCTACCCTTTCTTTTCCCCCCATTTTCCGTTGCTTTCCACCCCACGGCCTTCCCGAGCCCAACGAACAGCACCTCTTCTTTTCCGTCGGCCGGGCGGACCGCAAATAGTTGGGGGGTCCCGCGGCGGCAAAAATAGACACCTCCGAGCCCGGGCCGGCCAGGCTCCCTCTTCCAAATACCTCTTAAAGGTTCCGGGTCTAGCATGCATTGCCATTTGCCGAAAATATTGCTCCAAATGGCATTGGAGGAGAGCGAGAAAATATCGGGGAATTTGGCTGTAGATTATGGCCGGCTTTAAAGGGGATTCGAAGACAAAAAATGGCTGGGAAGATTTTGGCAGGCCGCGAAAAATTGACCGAAATTGGTATTTAAGCCAAAATAGGAACATATACGAGAGATATTTTTCCCTAAATCGGCCTTTAAAAGTATAAATATGCCGACTTTCGAAAGTTAAGAATTAGCGACATCAATGTATTTTGCCTTTAAAGAACTTTTTAAACTGGTTTTTGGCAGAAATCGACACTTTTCGACAAGAACAAGATGGCAGAGGTTTTAGAGGGTTTGCTTCGCTAAAAATGATTCTAGCATGAAAAGAATATACGTTGTGTTTATGGAAATTTTTAGTGGGATTTTCGACAAAAATCGATACTTTTTGACAAGAACAAGCCAGCAGGGGCTCCCCTATAAACCATCTTTACACAAAAAACGGCTATACGAGCCAGTACGCTCTTCCAAATGGCCCTAATTATCATCCGTCGCTATGCTTATGCTTTTCGCTGCAGTCACCTTCCCCATTTCGTTTCGTTTTCTGTGCGAAACCCCCTGGAATATTCCAGCAGCTATCCCTTTGCCTCGTCCGGAATTCCGGATTCCCGCGCCGGCACCTCTCGTTTCTTCGACCCTATTACGCCCCAGGCAGGAGATCTTTGGCCAAGACGGCCCGGGGGCTGTCATTTGGAGTGTAATGACTACAATTTGGTCTGCGAGATCGCGGCAAGGGAGAAATGGTCTTCCGCCCTTTTTCGAGTATAGGTAGGTAATCCCCAAGGTCTGGCCGGGGGGGCTACTCGGGGAAATTGAGCAGCTGCTGCTCTGGCTCAAAGACGGTGCGGGTATTCCCACGGTTTTAGCCCGGGTACAGAAAAAACAGCAGATTGTCGTGATTTTTCTAATTTCGGAGCGGCTGACGCGCGGCAGGTCAACTTTTTTTAAGAAGGCAAGAGAAAATAGTTCGGGTAATGTCTTTTGATGCAAATTGGCTGCCGACATTTTATTTGTAGATTTTATATGGGTTTACGGGCTTTTGTAGTAAATTGTAAATTGAAAATAATTAAAAAGTGTTCCTTTATTCTCCAATTATTTTCAGAACATTCAAAACATCTACAAAAGGTTGTTAGCAAATTTACATGACTTAAAATGCTGAGTCCGTTACGAATCAGACATCAAAAAAATACCGACAACCAGAATATCAACATCAAGACCCCAAGTCGTCTTTCAGCTCCTTGGTGTGTCGGCATTTTTGCAATCAGCATTTTAAATCTTGATATTCTTGCTGATTTCATGAAAAATCAGCAAAATCCACGCGTTTTACGCCAAAAATTGAATACTAGAAGCGTGCAGCTCTCACAATTTCAAGGCAAGGTCAATCCCGCTCCACGCCCCCATTTCTCATAATCCAATCCCGCGCCCAGGCTTCACATTATACTCGGTTTTTCGCCTTCCCCCTCTTCGTGCCAACTATTCCCGGAATAGCCCCGAATTGGCCATGCAGCAGGGAGGGTGAAGGAGGACGAGGAGAGACAAATTACTACTCAGGGCATCAGCCGGTGGAAGGGCCCCGCTGGCTATTTTGGGCTCGTCTATTTTTGGATCCGGGCGGGGAATGGGTCTCTGTGGGTCCCCGCTTCTGAGGGGCCATTAGATATCTAGGGGGGCTGAGGAAAGAGGCGGGAGGTCCACGGGATCAGCTCTTTTTCCTACTTTTAGGGTTGTTGGGTTGCTGTTTCTTGGTGGTTCTGCGTCTCTAGCACCTCTCTCTCTCGCTCTCTCTCTCTCTCGCTTTCTCTCTCTCAACCACATACAGCCCCAATTACCACCTCCTTCTCCAGGGCCGCCCTGCCCCCCCCCCCACTACTCTGGTGTCTCATTTTTTGAGCTCAACCTCCCGGCTATGTTATCCTCATTTTCTCGAATCCCTGGTTCCCCATCCGGGAGGAGGGGGCAGAAATGAGTTTTCCATCCCCTGGATAATACCCATTAACGGCTATATAGAATTTGGCCCGGTTTTTGGCGGCTATGTTCCGAAAATAGGGGGATGGGACGGGGCCGCAAAATTAGATTCGCCGAGGGGCAAAGTATCGTGGAGGAGGGGGATGCTTTGAGTTCCGAGATACGTGAGATGGCATAAGGGAGACACAGAGAGAGAGTGAGAGAGAGAGAGAGAGCGACAGAGCGGTAGTGAGATAGAGAGGCGAGAGATAGATAAAGAGACACCGAATGGCATCTACCTAACTTCAATAGGAAAAACCTGAGAACATTTAAGGCCTATGGAAACCTTAACAAAATACGATATAAGCCCAGGAATACATATAATAAAGATTGATATAGCTATACAAAACGTAATCTTAAACTTGCCCCACCTGCTGTATCAACCCGATCCGCTCAGCAGCTCCATTCAAATCCAATCCCGCGGCCAGAGCCGCAAAATCCGGGATCGCCGGCGCTGCCTCGCCTAGATATTAGGAGGTATTTTTATAGCTTTTTTAATACGCCTTTTTTAATAAAGTACGCACTGGATTCGGTGGTGGTGACAGGTGGTCCGCCATCGGACATTTCCCCCCGTCAGAGGCCTGATGGGAGGATGCAGCTTCGGGAGGAGGCTCCTACGTTTGGCCCGTGGGGGATGAGCTGGAAAGACAGTATATGGACTTGGCTTCAACGGGCCTTTAGAATGGAATTGGAAACATAAACTAACTCTAAAAAACAAGCAAATTGGATGTCCCGACGAGAAAAATCAATCATTTGGTCAGAAAGGAAGCTGTAAAATGGCTGCCGCCATTAGCATACCTTTCCGAGAAGGGCAATCTAACAGAGTTTATTTAGGAAACTTCCAAAAAGCGCTTAAATATAGGCAGACAAACAAAGATCTCAATGAACAATTGAAAATCGCGACTTTAGTAATTCATAATCTCCCCGCCACCCCCCACCTCTCCCCCGAGCGCTCATTACAGCCATTTTTGAGGGGTGGCCGGAATTCCCGGTAATTGAGGGGTTCGACCGAAAATCGACAGCTTTGTAGTGAAATCGTATAGAAGGAAACTTTCGTCTACTACAACCTTCTCCAGCTGCCTATGAAAAATGCATTTTTGGAGCCGGAAAACTCGTAGACGGTCGATCGTCGGAGCTGCAGATTGACAATTTGTTTTTTGTGCAGTCATAATTGGCTGCAAAAATCCAAAAAACGTGGGGATTTGGCCAATAAAGTTATATGAAAAGTAAAATCGTCAAAAAACCGAAAATCCGGGGCTTCTCCCCAGAGAGCCCAGCAAATCCTTTCCGGAATTCCATGCCCCCCATCGCGCCTCGTTAATCCCCTGATTTCCCCGGGCATTTTCTTAAAGAAATGACTGCCGCATAGACCCAAAGCCGATCAATAATTACAGGAGCACGAGAGGGAGGGACCGGACGATTTTGTGTGTTTGCCGTTTTTCCCGGGGGCTGACCGGAAATCAGCAAAATCGCCCAATCGGGCAGAGCAAGGGGGGACACTGGCGATCCGGGGCGGTTGTTTTTATCGGCTTTCCAGTGGTAGTGCCCGATGGGGCATGGGTTTGACGTAGAATAGCAAGAGAACGGCTGGCGGGAGAATCTGGGATATTTGAGGAATTTGTGTTATAACGGGGGGAAGCGATGGTCAAAGGTCTGTAGCGTTGTTGAAAAAAA